TCCACCAAACGTTCCACCAAACGTTCCACCAAACGTTCCACCAAACGTTCCACCAAAACTTCCACCAAATGTTCCACCAAACCTTCCACCAAACGTTCCACCTCACCTTCCACCAAACCTTCCACAAACTTTCTACAAAACCTTCCACCAAACCTTCTACAAAGTCTTCCACCAAACCTTCCACAACACCTTCCACAAGTAACTCAGCAGCCGAAGTTTGTGCCATTCCCATCACAAAATGCCTGCAGTGTCAAGTATGGGTTAGGAATTCCCCAGAAATTAAAAGCATAGCATCTTAAAATCCTCAGTGTTGCCTCAGCTACTCGATACTCAACAACCACCTTCTGTTCTTTCAGAAGATGAATTTCTGATAGAGCTCTTGGAGGTTTAAAATCAGGGATTCATATGAAAGTGGGCTCTTAGTTAAGAAAACCCTGGGAAAGGTTTAATCTGCCTTAAAATTGCACATTCAAATGCTGTTGTTCCTCTTTTATGTAACTCCTCACCGTGAGTGCCCTGAGGGAAGAAGCTACTAAGGCAGTGCCACCTCGGTCTGTCTGAGGGACGTGGCTGCAGCAAGGTGGTCACTGAAAATTAAAAATGAAGGCTGAAACGGGGCTGTGTGGACAGAAAGCCCAACATACCATAATTCCAGCTGGAATAAATAAACTTTGGCAGCAAATAAACACCTATTCCTGAGAGCACACAACGCTCAGGAAGCACAAAGGCGATTATAAGTGCTAATAGGAAACTTAATGAAGGCTGGTGCTTTGTAACTAGGTGGTACAATGCCTTCGAATGGACTTTATGAGTGCTAACTCTTTGTCTTCCAGAACACATTTAACTAATCTATTTGGCTTTACTTCACTCGCTGATTGAAATTTTTAAAGTCTGCAGCCAGGGCTCGGTGCCCTCACATCACCTAAAATCAACAGTTCACCAAACACAGTGTGGTGACAGTGAGTTGGGAGGTGTCGGCATTTATACTCTTCTTCTTTGCCTCAAAAACTGAGCAATTGGCTACAATAATTTAGAGAATCAGGGAACCACAGAGTGGTTTGGGTTGGAAGGGACCTTTAAGCCCATTTTGTTCCAACTCTGACACCTTCCACCAGCCCAGGTCGCTCCAAGCCCCGTCCAACCTGCCCTTGGACACTTCCACGGATCCAGGGGAAGCCACAGCTTCTCTGAACGGAATTTCCCTGCAATATCCCATCTCACCCTGCCCTCTGGCAGTGGGCACTCATCACCCCTTGTCCTGCCACTTCATCCTGGCTCCACCTCTGCACCTTCCAAGGCTAAAGCCGGTCACGGTCCCTGGGTGGCACAAACCTCCTGCCTCTCTGCACTGCAGTGGGCACAGGGCTAGCAAGGGGCTTCCAAAATCATCCTCTCCAGCAGGGATTGGGTGACAGAGGGCAAGCCAGGAGGCAGAGGAGATGGCCCAGTGCAGCTATAATTACGCAGAGGGGTAATGAGAAAAGCTCGTGCTGTGGGTGTGGGAGGGTGACAGTCCTTATTTAAACCCAGGAACTATGGCAGGAACCGGCAGACTTTGCTCCACTGACAGCAACTGTTGTTGTTTGTTGTGGGTTTTCTGCTGATTACAC